GGGACACTCTGTTGAGGACCGAGAACACAGATGGTTTGAGAGGGGGGTGAAGGAAGCAATTTATGTAAAAAGAGAAAAGCCGTCTCTTAACAGAGGAGGAGGCCTCAGATTCCCACTTTCTAAAACATATAATGCAACTTTAAAACAGATTCCCAGCCGGTTTCACACCTGATGGAAACAGAGGGGCCTCGACTGTGAATTAGAGGAACAAAGACCTACTGTTAAGGTGTTGAGGTGTGAACTGCCAATCTACATGTGTGTGTGTGTGTGTGTGTCTTATGTGTGTGTGTCTTATGTGTGTGTGTCTTATGTGTGTGTGTGTCTGATCTCACTCAGCCTTATAACCTGTATCTCTCACTCTCTGCTCTTTGAATTGAGGAAGCTCCTCGGATGAGGAGAGAAACGTCTTCTGTTACAAATAAAGTCCAGTTGTTTTTGTGTTGAAGCTTTTTGAATTCTTCATGTCCTGGATGACTGAGAATCTTCAGCAGAATAATGAAACTTCAACTGTCTCTGGGACAAATGCTGTTTCCTTTAACTTCACATTTTCTTGTTCAACTCTTAAATCAGTCGCTGCAGATGAGTGATGTCAGGTTCTGCACCTGGAGCAGGTATTCTGTTTACTGCTTCACCTCCTCAGCTGTCTCAGGTGTGAAGGCTCAGTCCTTCTCCATGTTCCAGCTCCTCTCATGGATCACATCTCATAGAAGAACTTCTAGAGAGAACAGTTTGTTTTGGGCCGTATCTCGTTACAGGACTCCTGATCTTTAATGGAGACCAGACTTTTAGAGAAAAGGAGCAGGTTTCTCTTCAGATGCTTCAGATTTCATTGTACCCAGACCAGACTCACCTGTGTCAGGTGCAGCTACAACCAAGAACTGAAGAGGATCTTCTTGTGTTTGACAGTAATACTGGTTCTTAGAAGCCTTCAGTTATAAAAAAGAGCTGACGTAACTCAGCTAAAGAGCAGCAGATACAGCTGCCAGTCAGTGTTTGTTCTCCAGAAACAGCCACTCTTGGTCTGCAGAGACCCTCTTCTCTAGAGTCCGCGCGGACCGAGTCCGCCTGAGTATGTGGCGGCCTTAAAGAGCCGTTCAAAACATTCCAATGTTCATTGAACGTCTCAGGTGGAACTCTGCTTCTGTTTAGCTGCAGAGAGCTGGGTCCAGTCAAACCACAGCTGTGTGGCTTCATCTGGGTCTCCTGAAACCCAAATATCCAACAGGACAACACCAAATACTTCAGCCCAAAACGGACAAACGTGGAGGTTTCAGAGCAAACTGGACCTGCACATCTCCAGGACCCTGAAGTGACCGAGCCCAGAACAACTCCGAGCTGTTAGCTCTCTGACACTAACGGTTAGCTTCCTCTGATGTTGATCCAGACCCAGTGGGACTCGGAACCACTGCCAGAACCAGGGACATCACCAACAGCTTGGCTCAGGCTCGGAAAAGTTAAAAACATTCTTGGACGTTTACAACATTTGTGCTAACAAACCCACAGGATGCCACGAGTGAAACCAGAACCCGCTGCAGCCCGTTCAGAATCCTAAACCGAACCGGACCCTCAGAACTAACGGTGACCTGAAAGCCAACCCGCTGAACCCAAGCCGCTAACGGCTAAAGGCTAACAGCGGTCCCGTCTAGCTCCAAGCTAAAAATGCTTCAGACCGTTAGCCAACTGTTGCTAACTGTGACGCAGCGTCCGGTTCACAGGTGAGTTCTGCAGGTGAAGTGGCAGCTCACACTCACGCTTCTTACCTGTTGACAGGTTATGAGCTCTGAAAAACCGTCTCACGTGCACTTTGTTGACTCCGTCTGAGCTCCATGTTAGCTAGCAGCCGGTGCCGCCTCCTCAGTAAGGAGAGCAGCTATTGGCTGTCCCAAGACACGCTGCTGACGTCATTACCATATTTTCATGTTTATTATTAATAAATAAAGTGTTAACAAAACAGCTAAATCAATATCAAAAGTACTGAACAAAATGAACAAGACTATAATGCCAGGGGGTTATAAAACGTATACATGTATGTATATATGTATGCATATACTGTATATATATATATATATATATATAAATATATATATATATATATATATATATATATATATATATATATATATATATATGTTTCATGTTACTGCTGATCTGTTTCATGTTGCTTCAGATCTGTTTCATGTTGCTGCTGATCTGATTCATGTTGCTTCTGATCTGTTTCATGTTGCTGCTGATCTGTTTCATGTTGCTTCTGATCTGTTTTATGTTGCTGCTGATCTGTTTCATGTT